AGAGAGAGAGAGAGAGAGAGAGAGAGTAGAGGAATGTTTGGTGGTTTAGCTAGCATGCTTATCTTGCTGGTTAGATTTATTTTCAGTTTGCATCATGTGCTCAGACTCAATGGCAACTTTTCTTAAAGTTGTTGTCTCCACATTTTAATCTTATCCCCCAACATTTGACATTGAAGACTAAGATTCTAAGATTTCTCACTCAACAAACTCAGCTCAATCAAGGATTTGACTGTGAGATATGTTCTTCTTCCTAGAGTTCAGAGCAGGCCTAGTGTTGACCATGGGTTAAATCATATTATCAACCTGTCTTCTTCCCTGATTGCAAGTTAGACACTGGGCTTGCAGATGATTTCGCACAGCATGCATGATGATTTTGTTTGTACTTGAAACAATTGAGAATTAGTCAAAAGGAGTGTTGATCATGGAAATGAAATGAAACGCCCCACTGGAATGAATGGACATCAAGAAGAAGAAGAAGAAGAAAATATTTTTAAAACGATTATAATAGATCGGTATTACACCTCCGTCACTAACCATTTTTACATGAACAAAATATTTGGCATTGTCGATATTATAATTGGCATTCAAACCCTTGGAAAATCGCAACAAAACTGATCAATAACTATAATGGCTATTTCTTATTTGTCATTATGTTTGTATATTTCTATATGTATGAGCCACAAAGATTACTCATTTCTCATGCAGCTTACCATATCCTCTATGATACTTGAAGTTTGTAACCAATAATACAACTCATGAACATCCAATTGTCATGTATCCCGATTTCATTCAACGAGAGAACAGGTTGACCACCTTAACAGGTGAGCCCGATACGTATTCAAGACTGAGCCATGTCGTACGGCATGTGTACATGGGGGGGCACTCATCCAATACTTGCACGTCGGGATTTCTCCCCGACACACAAATCTTCGCCATTTACTTTTCTCTCCATGTGGAAAGGACACCCAACTTGGATGGATGCCTTGATCACTCGGCTATCTCCACACTCCACCAATCTTTCGTGTTCTTCCACAGCAATAAATACTTCTCAATCGGCCATTAATAAACTACACAAGATTGTAAGTATACGAGGCACAAAATGATTGCTACTGCCATTAGGATTGCATGTGACCGGGGGACAATGTCATGACGATTTTGATTGCTTTGCTTGGGGCTACACCTAAAAGCACTCCTCCTCGTGTGTACCGGCGACCTGATGCTCACAGTAGAGAGATCAGAAGAGAGAGGTTACTTTGGTTGACGTGTTGCACCTGTTTGCTATATTGCATGTAGTAGCTTCGGACCACATGAAACACTCGATCGATCATGGACACTGCTGTCATCTCCCAAGCTTCAGCACGCTTCGTCGTCCAAGAAAAGGGAAGCTTGAGCACGCTCTTGGTTGGCTTTATTTACTTGGAATAATCGAATGATCGTGGCCTATGGCCTTCTTTGGTGCAAGTGTTTAACGTGTTTGATGCGGCAAAGCTTGGGCTTCCAAAACTTGGGTCTAAGCCTGACAGTGTTGACGAGTTGCCTCCCTATGGCGATTGGGTTGCAGAGCCTACGGCAGCGTAGCCTGTCCTGAAGTCAACAGAGCAAGCATCAGAGTCCAGGGAGATGGTGGCCAGAGACTTCGAGGGAGGAAGGGATGGCTGTGTCTTGACCGAACTCCACAGCCTCCCAGGCCGATCCCTCGCAGCAGCAATCCATGCATGTTGGCCTGTAGCGTTTGGCAGTAGCAGAGGACAGCAGGTGTGATGATCCTCGGATTCCTTCTCTGTTCCTCCTCGTGTACCTTTTTCATTTTCTACTGTTTGATGCTGGTGATGAAATCATTTTTCTAGCACCTCAAATTAATTACCACCTCTATTTTCTGTTGAAGGATAGCTAACCAAGTGGAGGGCAGAAACATTACAAGCTTTCATTTGGAGAATGGAGGACAGGAATTGACTCTCACAAATGATCCTAAATATTCTACAGAATGTGGCCAAAACAGGACTCCACATTTGTTTCTATCTCACCTTGGGCAGAATATAATGTTGTGGTGTTCCTAATTAGATTTGAGTACGAAAAGGTGCTGTCATGTGGTGAATGTGTTGTGCTGATCTTGTCTTGCCAACATGAGACATCAATCTGTGGTGTTCTTGTTGGTACTGGCTTTAGGGAACCTATGATCCACAAAAGCTGATTTCAATGGCCAAGCAAAACCCACCCAGAACAGATGCCTTTTGCTTGTTTTCTGAAGGAACAAGCTGTCATACGAATCCATAGCTCCATGCCCAGCAAAAGAACAAGTCAGATTCAGATTTTGGTTCTTAAGTCCTCTAGCTCCACAGATACAACCCTAAATACCTAAGCATACGGATATGAGATTATAAACATACATAGTAGGCAATCATGCAAAATATTCTGCACTCAGCAAGAAATTGCTTTCGGCTGCAGGTAAAGAGAGACTATTCAAAGCCCAGAAGAACCCTATTGGGAACGTTCTGCTTTGGGATCCATATGAAGCTCTCATATTCTCCACAAGCTCAAATTTATCTTCTCATGCAGATTACGCCCCACCATCTTCCGCACCATTCTCCCTATCCCATGCTCCGTGGAATGCAAGTGTATGATTTGTTTTGGTTGTAGTATCTGGTAAGAAGCCCTGGAAAGCTGATCCCTTCTTAATACCTCAAATGAGGTTCATTGAGTGCGAACAAAGCACTCATATCTGTTCTACACTCCAAATAGAAGAGGCAACAAATGAAGGATATGTATGTAGTGCATGGACCTGAATTCGATGTAAAGTTTCTTCCGAAGTATGATTCAATGAGTAGAGTTCAAGGTTCCGATCTCCCATCATTTTCTTATTTATCCTCGTATGGATGGATGACTTGGAGAAGTGAGTTGGATTCAACTTCCCTCTCTTGCTTGGAAACACGAGAAGGAATCAACAAAGAAGAAAGGAGCTTCACTACCAACACCCGCTCACCGGTAATTTTCTGATATCCCTAACTAGTAGTGAAATGAAACGACAACAAGGGATATCCTCACCGTGTCAACTGTTACGGGTGATCGATCGCTTGATGTCTAAGAATAACTTCAAGAGGCTCAAGTCATCACGAAGTAGAAAAGACAGAATTGGAGGACTATGCTTCTCTGACACAGAGTACCACACCAGACTCTGTTTTTGGACAATCTTCATGGAGGTAGTTTGAAGGTGGAGTTGGCAAAACAGAGTCTTTGATGGTAGCATTTGTCATATACGTCTACTTTGCCCATACTCTAAAGCTAACATGGACCAACATTCCTGTTATGGTCATCTCTTTTTCATCTCTCTTGTATATATGGCCATCTATCTCTCTCTCATGGCACACCACCATATGTTCTCCAACTATTCCAGCCATCGAGCGTAATACCTGCCTCTCTCTCTCTCTCTCTCTCTCTGTATTATCTCATCGGGATGGGTTCCTTCCCATGTCCGTCGTCTGTTCTCGTCGAGGCCTTGGTTGTCTCATCCATCGTGTTGCTTGCGCTTCCAGCTGATGTTGTACAAGCCCAGCAAAATGGCATAGTTAGACACTACAAGTTTGACGTATGCTCTTTAGCAACTGCAGTCTTCTGCTTGCATAAATTGGACTGGCTATGAGGTCCAGTGTTGCTGAAACATTGAGAATTCGATCTGCAGATACAAATGGCAGATGTGACTCGCCTGTGCTATACAAAGAGCATCATCACCGTCAACGGGCAGTACCCGGGGCCTACGATCTTCGCCAGAGATGGCGACCGGGTCATCGTCGATGTGGTGAACCATGTTCGAGACAATGTCACCATTCATTGGTATGGGAGTCTTACTCTTGTTATTGCAGACGTACAGAGAACAGCCTATCACCTGATAGATACTACACACAACTGAGGACAATCTTTTGAGCACAGGCATGGAGTCCGGCAACTGCGCAGCGGCTGGGCGGACGGGCCGGCGTACGTGACCCAGTGCCCGATCCAGAGCGGACAAAGCTACGTTTACAACTTCACCATCGTGGGACAGAGAGGCACTCTGTTCTGGCACGCCCACATCTCATGGCTTAGAACGACCCTCCATGGCGCCATCATCATCCTCCCCGAGCTCGGTGTTCCCTATCCATTCATCGAACCCTATAAAGAAGTCCCTGTCATCTTTGGTACTCACATCAGCCTCCTGTTGCTGCTGTGTTCATTTGTCTTGGCTTCACTTTGCTATCTATACGCTTGCTTTGCAGGGGAGTGGTGGAAGGCTGATACAGAGGTTGTCATTAGTCAGGCACTTGAGAATGGTGGAGAGCCAAATATTTCGGATGCCTTCACCATCAACGGACTCCCTGGTCCTCTCTACAACTGTTCGGTTAAAGGTACAAAGAAAACCCCTGCAAATGGAGGAATATATGTAGTTCGTTTGTGTGATAATATCTAAATGTTTTGATCATGGTGCAACTGCAGATACATTCAAACTCATGGTGAGTCCAGGAAAGTCGTACCTCCTTCGCTTGATCAACGCTGCACTCAACGATGAGCTTTTCTTCAGCATCGCCAACCACACCGTCACCGTTGTCGAGGTCGATGCCGGCTACGTCAAGCCCTTCGAAGCCGACACCATCCTCATATCGCCGGGCCAGACGATGAACGTTCTGCTCGACGCCAAACCTAATTACCCCAATGCCATTTTCTCCATGAGTGCCAGGCCCTACTCTACTGGATCCGGCGCCTTCGACAACACCACCGTCGCCGCCATCCTCAAGTACCGCAACCCCAGCAATTCGTCCTCTGCTGGTTTTAGCAAGGAGCTCGCCCTCTATATACCAGTCCTTCCGGCGTTTAACGACACATCCTTCGCTGCAAACTTCACCGGCAAGTTACGTAGTCTGGCGACGGCTCAATATCCGGCCAACGTACCGCAGACCGTCGACCGACGCTTCTTCTTCACCGTCGGGCTCGGTACGGACCCGTGCCCGACAAACCAGACGTGCCAGGGACCAAACGGCACCAAGTTCTCTTCCACCGTCAACAACATCTCCTTCACAGAACCAACGACGGCTCTCCTCCAGGCGCACTTCTTCGGGCAGTCGGAGGGCGTGTACACGCCGGACTTCCCCGCCTTCCCACTCATGCCGTTCGACTACACCGGAACTCCGCCGAACAACACGAACGTGAGCCATGGGACCAAGCTGTTGGTGCTTCCCTTCAACACCAGCGTCGAGTTGGTGATGCAGGACACCAGCATTCTGGGGACGGAGAGCCACCCGCTGCACCTTCATGGCTACAACTTCTTCGTGGTAGGGGAAGGGTTCGGCAACTTCGATCCGGCGAGCGACCCGGCCGAGTTCAACCTGGTGGATCCGGTGGAGAGGAACACCGTCGGGGTGCCGGACGGCGGCTGGGTGGCCATTAGATTCTTGGCGGACAACCCAGGTTAGTATGTAGATATACCGCGTGCATTGCGTGCATTAGATTCAAACTGTTGAAATCTGCATCATTTGCAGGCGTGTGGTTCATGCACTGTCACATCGAGATCCACTTGAGTTGGGGTTTGACGATGGCGTGGCTGGTCTTGGACGGAGCACTTCCCAACCAGAAGTTGCCACCTCCGCCTTCGGATCTCCCGAAATGCTAGACTTTGATGATGCGGGTTCTAATTATCCGATTGTTGCTTGGGTTCTTTTTGTTGTCTTATTAATTTGCTTCACACAGCCATCGAGAGAGACTATATTAAGGTTTTTGTTGGCAGAAAAAGACCCGAATTGACCATGTCCAATTATTATTATATTATATCTCACGATGATCTCATCTGTCACGCAGCGTTAGATCGCTGATCACAGCGATAATTATTTTTCTTTTAGAAGCTTTTTTGTTCCTATCGATTTAACATTTCTTTAATTTCTAAATAAAAAATCTAAAGTAAAATTGGTTTAATTGTCTTTTTATAATCATAAAATCTGAGATAATTCTTTAGTCAAATTCCAACATCCAAACAAGCGATCTCCACCGCCCAACTTAAAGAATAAACGCATGACAAGTCTTTTTCTTACTTGTTTCTTTCTTTCTCGAATCCATGTGAAGTGCATCTGTCGATCTGTGGTCTCAAAACAAAATCTGCGTTGTGATTCTGCTGAACCCTACATTGTCTCAAAATGTTGGTGATCGGATGATGAATTTTCTCGAAATAATTAATAAATATAAAAAGGAGCAAACATTTTTCTTTATAGAAATTATAGGCAAAGATGAACATTCTGTATACATATTATGGACAAGAAGCGATCGATCCGTACGTGTCATACGGTGTTGCTTTGGTGAATTTGACATCGTTCACCCATCCTTTGATTGTTTAAGATTCAGACTGTGGCGGAAATGGAGCCCTAAATCAATGTCAGATGGATTGGTAGGTGGGGAAATTGATGCAGAATAGTAGGAGGGACAAGGCGTTGGGAAGAAGTGGTAATGATGATATGATGAGACAGCAGAACCAGTACTGCATGGCTCCCTGATGAGCAAGGGCACAACATCTTGCAGCAGTCCTTGCGGATACTGCACAGCATCCCTCGGACGCATGTTTTGTTTCCCTGCGCCAGGGTTCAGTGTAGCTTCTTCCTCGAGTCCTCGATCGGGAGATCCTGGACTGCTCTCGCCACTGGTCACGGCCACCACCTCCTCCCTCAGTTCGCCTTGAATACTTTGGCTCTTGTAATCTTTGTGCAGCTGCTCCTCGCCCTGCAGCTTGGGTTTCTTGGGCACCTGAAGCTTCGTAGCAGTATGATCCTGGGGACGACGCCGGAGGACGTGAAAGTGGGGATAGTGAAGATGGAGGCCTTCGTAGGTTATGGTGAGCATGTTTGGATCTTCTTTCGACCTCTCTACTTGCCTTTTCGCACTGCACCGAGGGTTGGTGCACCTATAGTAACTCCTGCTCGACAAACCAAAGAAAGAAGCTTCACACAAACTAAGACAGAACGATGACACGAGCGCCAGAAAATAGATCGACTGTATTTGATTCTGATTGTTCATTTGTTGGTGCTTGTCTCATGCTAGTGAGACAAACATGTTCTAACTCTATACCTGAGGACTGGTAACAGCGATTGGAACCGAGTCGCGGGTGATACGCGTATCATAATTTGGTAAGCGTACAGTATTCACCGAGGGAAGAAAGTACTTGTGTTCATGCCGTATGTATACGTAGTACAAATATGTTTGTGGGAACATGTTGTTAATCTTTGATCTGAATGAAATAGGCATTGGTGGCAAGAGAAAGAACCTTGGGTTTGGGTTGTTCTTTATAGTTTTCTGGCCATATTTCCTCCACTTATAGCCATCCTCTGCTACTCCACCTCCACAGCTCTTGATCATCACCGCGTACTTGGTGTCCGATTTGCCAATGCCTTTCTCTGGTACTGGAGCTCTGCAAGCACGCACGGGGACTTCCGGAATGATGAGCGAGCGTCAAAGATACAATAGAATCACGTTGTAGAAGAAATGATATTAGCTCACTTACCTATAACGATGTGAAGTAGCGCGGACGTCAGGAACCTTGGTAGATAGAGCTCTCTCGATGTCTTCAATGGTCGGACCGGAATAAGCCGACGAGATGAGCGTGTTTGGTACGTGCCGCAGACTACCAGCTGTTCCACCATCTGCAGCCTTGGATGAGACGAAGGGAGGTGATGCTTCAGCCGAAAGCTCTCCGAGAAGCTCCTTCTCTGATTCATCATGCCAATAGATCTCTGGTTCTTTTACTTGTGCCATCGGAACCAGTTCACCTTGATTTGTGGGTTCTGCAATCGCCAAGGAGAACGGAGAGAGAGAGAGAGAGAGAGAGAGAGAGAGAGAGAGAGCCGCTGTCGGTAAGCAGCTTAAACTTGGCTTTTAATGACCCAATTTAAAGTGTTGTGAATCTCTTTGGTGAAAGGTATTCCAGACGCTGGACTGTGGCATTAACTGAAGTAATGATCAACAACGGAGTAGAAAAATGAATAGCCCAGCGATCATCTCATGCATGCATCTTCTCTTTAATTAAAACCTCAAGCAAGCAACGTATGACCTACATCCGAAGACTCCTCCCTCGAAGACCACCGAGTACACGTGATCTTATCCCTCCCCCCTCTCCTCCCGCTGTTGCATGTTGTGGATGCCTCCCAGCTATCCATTCTTCTCCTCTAAATCAGAGTCCAAGAAACGCAGCTCACGTTTCAACAAACTCACTGTGGCTGCATCAGCAACGACCCACGCTTGCTGGACTAGCATTTACTCTTGTACTTACTGTACTGTAGATACACGGTCCCGTGGTTCGTTGTCTCTTGACAAGTCCCATCCTCATCGCTCCATATGATAGTTCAAAGCGACCAGCGGCACCTGGTTCTGCCAGTTTGTACACGACACGAAGATGATAAGTCCGAATCCTCGACTGTCATTGCCATCACAAGAAGATATGATGCTGCATCCCAATGCCCGGCTGCATGCATCCTGGAGTTGAAATGATGCACACAGTCCGTGACGAGAGACGTCAGACAAGACTCTTGTACATGATAATGGATTGGATCGCAACTTTGTGCCGAAGGATACCCCTACCATCTGACGGTGTCAGTGTCACACCGCTATTCGTGAGCAGCTTATTTGAGAGTTGATGGAAGAAATAAATACTCCTGTTGCACCCAACCCAAACAGAACACAGGGTGCTATTAGCGGCCGCCCTTTGGACTTAGCTGGAGAATACATAAATGCATGCATCTTATTGATTGAATATTTGCGAATTGAAAGCCTGGGGACACCAAGCAATAATGCTGTGCGCGAGTTGGCGCAACAGTTCCTATCAAACAAGATACATGGCAGGAAGATATAATAACATCATTACTTTGCATGATTTTTAGAATATCATATTTATGCCACGATATCACTGATGTAATGCACGCAAACTATTCGATAAGATCGATTATTCCAAGAGATACCCACATAAATGGGCCTTCGTAATTGATTTGTTTTATGTAATGAGCTTTTTGGTCTTCTTCTTAGTTGACGAGGATAGTAATTACGATAAGACTCGGCTGACGTCAACCGACGCATCACGCCTCAATCGACGTGATTGCACTCGGTCAACCGAACCGGAACACCGGCTGAGGCGCATTAACGCCTACTCAGACGCGGTTCTTCACGCCATGCCAGCGCCCATGTCAGACGCTATCAGCCTGCCTCCTGCAGGCGGGCATAGCAGTAAGCTTCCCTATAAATACCCTCTCGTTCATCAGAAAGGGGAGGGGGGGACCGACACAAAAACCTTTCTTCATCTGAAATCCTCACTCCACATCACTAACTTGATCGTCGGAGGGGTCGAGCTGAGCTTCCGACCCGACCTGTGTGCAGGTACGAGGAAGAAGCGCTCTCATCGGGCGCACAGGCAAAGAGCCCCTTCTCGGAGGAAACCGTCGAGTCCCGCCTGTCCCGAGGAGCCCTTCCCCCGGGAGATTCCCCGTCATCCAGACCTGAACCGAGCCACGTCGGCCCCGTGGCCACGGCTTAAAATTGTTTACACTAACATTAGTTTTATTGTCCTTTTTCATTGGGATTTTTAAGGCCGTTGGATCGAAGACGGCCGGAACATAGCTTTCCTTTCCCATCCATGGCGACGTTCGTCCTCCCCACTCGCTCGGTCCGCTCGGGTTTATGTCAGCGTCGACATCGTACCGGTACGTCTATATAACGGGCGTTACAGAACTCGTGCGACACACTTTATAACCCGGGAGAAGAGTCCGACGGCGTCCCCCACACGACACCACCGACGGAGCGTGACTGCAGGTTTGCAGCGGGCCCAACACCAAAACTACAGCGACGCCCTTATCTCGTGGGCCCGCTAAACGTGTCTTTGTTCACCACCACAAACGACGCCTCGAAACGCGGACACCGTGGGATTTCGTCGTATTTTTATTTCTCATTAAGAGACTACTCTTTCACGGTCGTAATAAGTCTGACGTATCTTCCTCGAATCAAATGGAAGGTATGGCGTGTGGTATGAAACAAATGAAGCATGGATATTCGGTTTAGTTCTCGCTTTTGGTGCAGACCCAATTCCCGCCAAATTTGAAACGCGTTTGCCAACTCCACCGCCTTACCTTGGCTTCCACCGCACACCACTCTTCTTCTCCTCCCTATATACTCTCGGTCTCATTGGATTTGGATCCCAACACAACAATGGGAGCGGGAAGGATGGAGATGCAAAAGATAAAGATTGGGCGGCCTGGCGAGGAGGAGGAGGTGGCGGTGGGCGGATGGGAGACGCCGAAGAGGGCGGAGTTCCGGATCCCGGCTGCGGTCCGCTGCCCCGCGCCGCCTAAGAAGAAGTCCCCCTCCGTGGCGTTTGGCAAGAGGGGGGATCCGCCCAAGAACGGCTACTTCCACCCGCCCGACCTCGAGGCCCTCTTCGCCCTGTTTTCGAGGAGGGAGGCTTGTGCGTGAATTCGGCGTATATGGCGGGTTATTGTAGATAACAGATGCTATAAGGTATGGTTAGGATTCTTGATATATGTAGTGCTTGGAACCTTTTGCTGCAACGATGGTAGTGATTTTTTGTAGGCTTATTCATTGTCTGCGGCCCCGTTAATGTAGTTGGTATCATAATGATAAATGAATTGGTGTTTACTTGTTTTTCTGGAATGGGGGAAGAAAATATTGGGGTTTTGATGTTCTTGGAATTATGCAGTCTTTGCTTTGTGCTGGTTCAAGTTGTGTTGTAGTTGTAGTGCATCGACATCGAGATGACAAGCACAAGGAACTTTTACTTGATTTTGCTTGAGACTGTTGCAGATCGGACGAGAAGGATGTTTATTCGATGATACTTGTTAATTAGTTGTCGTGAAAGCAAGAATAAGAATAAGAAAGCATTCGGTGTTCTAATGTCTGCAGACAAAGAAGTCATGCAGTGGTCCTCTGAAGATTCTTCATTTGGTGGAACATTCAACTAATCATCATTGTAGTGTTTTCGTAGAAGGATTTTTCTCTTGGCGAATGGAGAAAGCTCGAGATAAAGAATCCTAAACGACATCGGTTGTAGATATCTATGGGAGGCATAAAATTCAGCATATGTGGCATAGTATTGTATTAATATGAGGGCCACATGCGTTTGGCCTTCTTCCGGTCTGAAGACCTCATTGATGATGAACTGAAAGAAACAAGGATTAAATAGTTCATCTTTCTTGTTTCATTCTTCCAAGGCCTTTGGTCCACTGCTTTCGGCGTATAAAGATCACATGGAGTCATGTGGAGTTCATTTCTCCGGGCATCCCTAGCGGCGCCATGTCTCGGCACCTCACATGCCTTGCAGAAGCTTTCTGCTGCCCTAACGAGGCTAAAGGATGAAGAAACAAGTGCATCCTGTGATGAGTCTTCTTCCTCCGCCTTTCATTTCTGCTGGAAAGCCAAGGACAAATGAGCTTCGATGAATAGGTCTTTCCATTTCAAATTGGAGAGTCAGAACTGAGGCCTAAACGGACGCATCTGAATCAAATCACGGATGCTCCTGCACGAGGTTGGTCGATTAGGGTTGGTATGGGTCTGCGGACATCCCAAATCTTTGACAGGTTCGTCCTGCATATGCCCTGTGGGTGTCATTTTGCTGCGATAACTAAGAAACTGAGGCTATCCCATGAACATGGCAGACAAATGGGCCCATAGATTGATTACCACCATGCAATGCACGCAGGCAAATCAGAGTGTTAGCACTCCGTTTCCCTTAAATACATGCATGCTAGTACTGCTTTTAAGCAGAACCATTGGGTTCAACAACAAGACCAAGTTTTCAAGTAATAAAATAGTTGGATTTAGTGAGATAAAGTTGGTCTTCAAATCTCATTTTATTTTCCATGGCTCGGCATTATGATTATGATGGTCTGGTCTGAGACAAAGGAGGACATGCATGCACAACTTTGGTTCATGAATCTTCACCTATCCCGGCATTAATGACTTGCACAGAATAACCCCTTCATATTTTTTTACCGTGAGAAATTAAGATGAAAAGCCATCGACATGAGAACGTCTGGTGGAAGTTTCAATTCAGTGATGTGTGATGAATGTGCTGAGTCCGGAAGAAGAAGGGAAGGATCGACGAGGCGTCGGAACTCGAGAGGGGAGCCGACCAAGATTCGCTGGTGGAGTAGATATAGCATTTGACGAGGCAAAGGCGACCCCGTAGGTGGCCTCCGGAACAGATTCTCGTGCAACAAGATTAGATCTCACGTCTGAGAACCTCCACCCATATGAACGAGAAAAGTGGGCGGAGAGACGTGAAGAACCCAACTTCTTCCTCTTATCTTCTTCTTCCTGTATAAATCAGCGTCGGAGGTTTCCTCATGGATTCATTCTGTCAATTGCATAAACCCACTCTCTTGTTTTGTTCTTTCTTCTCGGTTGGATCGTCGCTCTTTAGCTAGTACTTCTTCCATCTGTACGAGAACCGAGTCTGAGAGGGAGAGGTCGCGGAGTAGAGGAACCAGAAAACAAAGGTTTGCTTCGGCCGTGGAGCCGCCGAGCATGGACGAGAAGTGGAAGCTGTCCAAGAAGGGGAGCAGGCGAGAAGGTGGCCCCTCGTGGAAGGGTTCCGGGAGCGTTCAGGAGGGGAGGAGGAGGAGGAGGACCAGCAGCAGCATGGCGACGGCGACGCGGTCACCGTTCGCGAGCCGGTGCGCGAGGCTGGTGAAGGAGCAGAGGGCGAGGTTCTACATCATAAGCCGCTGCGTCACCATGCTCGTCTGCTGGAGAGACTACCCTTGAATTAAGAGGACCTACAGCATGTACCGCCGCCTCCTCTTGTGGTTGCATTTGGGTTTCCTTCCTCTGTTGGAGACGGCCTTCTCAGCCGTCC